CACCCACCCACCCCGTTTCTTCCCCTCCCCTCTTCCTGCACTATCCTTCCCTTTTTTTTTCTTTTGTAATGCAAAGAAAATGTTCCCAGTGTGTTTAAAAATAAAAATTAAAATCTGTCTTTGACCCCAGGAGAACGTAATCTTGAAAAGATAACCCCACCCACCCACCCCGTTTCCTCCCCTCCCCTCTTCCTGCACTATCCTTCCCTTTTTTTTTCTTTTGTAATGCAAAGAAAATGTTCCCAGTGTGTTTAAAAATAAAAATTAAAATCTGTCTTTGACCCCAGGAGAACGTAATCTTGAAAAGATAACTGTGCCTGCAACATGTTAATCTTGGGGGGGAGGGGGATCATATTTTTCTATTAAACATATTTGTTTATTTTTATTTGGTAGGCCATACATAAGAAAGAATAATTCAAGATGGCAGACTTGCTTCCCCTCCATTTTTTTCTTTTTTTTTTTTTTGCACATCGTTTTTAAGTTTGGACATGTCTCTTTTCGTCTTCTGTGGGAGATTTGATGCTCTGGCATGTATGTGTGTGGGTTTTTTTTAAAAAAAAGCCTTGTAATAAGGAATAATACTGCAACAGCTGCTGCCAAGACAAATTGGTGTGGAGTGACAGGACTTCATTGACTTAAGAAAAAAAGAGATTTATATGTGTAGCTATATATAAAGTTCTTAAAAACCGGAGATCGAATAAGCTAAGTGGTGACAATTCTGAATCTCTTCAGAGCTCGTCTCCCGTGGAAGGGGTGGGCGGGTGTGTGGCTGATCATTTTATTCTCAGAGCCTACCAGTCAAGGCAGAGGTCCATTTTTATGTTGCGTTCAAAATTTGTATCCATAGCTTGGCCTTACCAAAGCAAAAAGGGTGCAGAAAAAATGTAGACTTGCTTTTTTTAAAAAAAGAAACTATATAAAAAGACAAAACATTTTTGTATAACTGCCCCCTGCTTAAAGATACTTGAATTTCCTTTTTGAAAAGGAATTTGAAACCACAGTGTTTTAAAATGAAGCCTGA